TCCATTTCTTTAACAGCATCAAAACATGCCGCGTTTAACATTATATATATATATATATATATATGTCCATAACGACTATTAGATAATGATGCCAGACAACTCACCATTAACACGATCAAGTATCTTGGATTCGGCGGCATTGGCTGACTCTCCAGTGTCCGTTGAAAGCTTACAGTTACATTGGAAACGGGTGGTCTCATCCGTGTATCCATTGTACAGGCGAATCTGTAAAAAGTTTCTCGTCCATTAGTGCAAATAGGGACCCTACGCAAATTGCTACGGAGTAATAAACACAATGTTAAGTAACTATAACCATTGTAGTCCTGGGAAGGGAAAATATTCTGTGGAATTAGAGGTGTATGGCCATAAGCTTTCGGAAATGACACCCGGTCACCCCATGACGAGAGATTATACAAAACAGGCTATCGATCGACATTCAATATGTATTTGCATCAGTATCTAATGATGTGATGCTAATTTCGTAGAATGCCAAAAATAATTCCAAAGTCTAAGAAGATGGTGCGAAAGAACAAAAATGACAAAAAAATCTTTTTTTCAGTATACCATACTCTGTGTGTTTAGTCATTTGTTCCCCCTTCCTACCCACGTGGATTTCATAATGAGGGCATTTTTGTTCGCACGCTTACGTCAGTTTTGGGGTTCCCCGAGGATATCATCCATATACTCACTGTATTTTCAGTAGCTCAATAGAAAGTAAACGAGAATGTTATGCCGACTAGCATGCATCTATAATTAATATGAATGATGTGCTTTTAAAAAGCCGAAAAGAACAAACATCACAAAACATACTACGGAGAAATATTGGCTGATGTAAAAATGGAAAGCTATCGACCAAAACGCCCCAGCACACGCTGGTAGTGAGACTAAAAACACACCACTGTTTTCCTGACATGAAACACTATTTGCCAGCAAATTACTTAGACCACATCATGTTCTGAACATTACAAAACCCACATATTATAAAAAAAAGAGGGATAGTGCGTCTTTCACTGTCTCGGAAAAAGAGGTCGAACCCAATAAGTTAGAAGTTAGTGTTTAGTAGTTACAGTAGTCGCATACTAATTATTGTTATCCATTGCCTATTCTTTATCTTCATGTTACATGTACTTGCAATTAGCCTACGGGCACGAACGTGCAATAAACTTTTCCATAACAGAAGATACGAAAACCATAGATTCTGCAGCATTCAGCAGAGCCATTTTATAGGAGACCTGGAATTGACATTGACCTCCGTCGCCCCAAGAGAAAGACAGAGGCATCCTACAACAATACCCCATAAAGTTCGTAGGGGAAATGTCTTTCGGTTAATATAAATGTAACTGGTGAAAGATATCACATGCCATCAGAAATGTACAAAATATAGTCAATGAGCGTCGATGAAGGTTAGACATCCAGGTAATACGATACGCCAAAAAAAACAGTTACTCAAGCAACTGGATATGATTTTGAAAACGTCAGACGTTTCAGCTAGTATCCACTAGCTTTCGTCAGTGACTGAGAGACCGGAGGGGAAAGAAGGTTTATAAGCACAACCTATTGATTGATATGCAAATAAAGTGAAGACAAATTTTTGGAAGTCGAAAAGGGAACAAAAGTCAGTCTGGGAGTGCCGAATCCCAAACCCTCAACAGGGAAGTGGGGCTACGGGTCTATCTTTCCGGCACTTGGGATTTGGCACTCCCAGCCCCGAGGACAGACAACACTTAAGCTCCTGTTCTGTATAACAGGAGTTTTCAGACTAATTTGCATCATCTTGTCTTGACTTGTCTGACTTTTGTTCCTTTTTCGACTTCCAAAAATTTTTCTTCACTTTATTTGCATATCAATCAATAGGTTGTGCTTATAAGCCTGCTTTCCCCTCTGGTCTCTCAGTCACTGACGAAAGCTAGTGGATACTAGCTGAAACGTCTGACGTTTTCAAAATCATATCCAGTTGCTTGAGTAACTTTTTTTTGGGGGGGTATAGTCAATGAGCTTAACTGATTTAACTAGAATGAGGCGACAATATTTTTTGCTAAACATAAGTTTTTCATTTCTTTAGCCAATGTGAATTTGGTTAAAATTAATCTGAACAACTTACCTCATCAAGAGCCAGCAAGTCTTCGCCACCGGTTTTCAGTTGAATTTTGTCGGGCCTTCCAAAGTTTCCAAAGAAGGTCGGTGGGATATCTGCTCTTGTTGTTCTGAAATCATACAAAACAACGCCAATGTGCTTTTTAAATATATCTTTAAATATCTTCCTTTCTTCAGTTTTGTGAGAATAAAAAGTCATCGAAGTTCGTAATTAACATTTGTTAAAAAGAATATATTTCCTTAGATAAAGAACTAAGATTTATGAGAAAGTTCTCAAATGAAAGGAGGACAGCAACGGTCAGGGTTTTTTTCTAAAAGACCACATTTTTATTTTATTTTTTCTGCGAATCTAGCAAATTGGTAATATAGCTAAATATTAGTTAGAACACTCAATCCGTTAGCTCTAAAAATAATTGTTGTACCCATATTGGTTCATTAATCTATCGTAATGTAAATAGTTAGTTCTTAATAACCACAAATTATGCAAAATTGAAAACATATCTACCTTTCTCTAACAATATTTTTTCTATAAAATAAATACTTGATTCTATAAAGATTCATGAGAAATATATGTTATTAATTAAAGAGTATCGAAATGTATGTAAAACAATAAGGAACATCTTTTCCTATGGTCCGATTTGACCCTACTGGCCCATAAACTTTCTAATATAACTTCCAATGCTATGAGCCAATCCAGTAAAAACCAAACGAACTCATGGAAGGTGACTTTCTTCCGATCAAATACGCTGAAATGGCACATAAATATATGCCTGTGGTCCAAGCGGACCCAGGTCTTTTTGAGGAGGGTTTGTAAACGCTTGTAAATTTGCCAAATTTAGTGATTAGTAACATATGAATATCAAACACGGGCCTTTAGCTAGCCTTCCGAAAAGTGTACAAAATTACACTAATGCTAACTATTAACTGTCAAAAACATCACCGTACTTTACAGGAATTAAAATTATTATTTAAAAATCTCTCTCCTGCATGTCAAGAGACAAAACTAACAGTCGGTCATAATTATGTTCTTAAGCTTTCGGGTTAAAGGAGTGGGTTTAGTTTTCTTAACAATAAATAAGATCCCATCTCCAACACTTCCTTAATATGTCAAATAGAATATACGTTTCTAAATGCATTGTTCTTACTTCCTCCTTAAAGGCACTCTATGTAGTTTTTTGCGCAAAAAATTGAAATATTCTAATTATACTAAATTTTGGTGTTATTAGCAGTTACTATCACTTTTCAACACATTTGTGTTATTATTTCACATTTTTTTCGTATATTTTGTCTGTTCAAACAGTCCTTCTTCAGTTCCCGGTGCCACCGGTTTGCTCAGGCAGGACAACAACAACAACATACAGGGGTTGCCCCCTGGGGTGGCTAATTGGCCCGGGCATGCCAGGCTCGATAGACAGGGGCAGATGTCACAAGATATACCCTCCTTAGAAAAAACTCATATCTTTCACATGAGGTGGAATATAATTATCAACTTAGAGTATTTTGTTGGGCATGAATAAACTGTGGCCATTATCCCTTCAAAAGAGATAAAAAATCTGGTAAACGATTAGGTATTTCAGAAACTGGTAAGCTATCAACTGACACCCCACTGGGATGTAGGTCAAACCACTGGGAGTGGACAATACCATATGTGTGGTTTGGCCAGAGGTTGAATAGAAGATCATTCACAGTTTTCTAAGCTTCTAAGGAGCAAGGATGTTGTATTTTTTGCTGGGGAGTATAATTTTGGAATACTAATGGGTTAAGCCAATGTACTATGTAAAGAAAAGAATAAAAAATATACTTTTTGTATTGTCAAAAAACTACATAGAGTGACTTTAAGAATGCAGCAGGAATCTGAAACCAATCGGTCCAACGGTTGGAAGAAAGAATCCGGAAGGAGATGTTGTCCTTTGACTGAGCACTACCCACGTCCCTTACATCCAGGTAGATCACGTGGGTGGGTGGGTGGGAGAAAATTCAGATGAGCTCGAGTACGTGAGCTCCCACCGCCCGCTACTTGTGATGACAATAAACAGATGACCGCTGGGTCAAGTGAGGTCAGGGGTCGTATTCTGTGCATCTAATTACCCTCCATGAAAATGGGGGTACTGTTTTTACTCCGTTTCATGTTTGGTCTGATATCTGAAGATCGGTGAGAAGGAACTGTACGATATTTGGCAGATTAATGGATGGGGCCTTGGAGATTGTGTAGGCTGACTTTGAGCCCCTGGTGATTGACCTTGGTACTGCAGTTTAATTTTTTTATTCTGTTGTTTTCGCGTTATGGACTGTTTGTGCGATATTAAGGTAGCATGTAGTTGTTATTACCATGGTTTAGTGATTTAAATTTGGGTCCCCTAGCTGTTTGCGTTTGATATTTACAAAATGTTTAATGTTGGACTTTTTGTGTTGAATGTTTGGAAAATCTAGGGGATGGTTTGGTATGATTTTTGGTATGTGGGTAGTTGTTGAGTCTCTTTGTGTTTTGGAGTGCATTAGCAGGTTGTCGCATATTTTTATTGCTTAATTTAAAAGGATTTTCACTTTTTCACCCCTACTTCATAATAGGATGGTCTGTTTGACCCAAAAGTTGGGACAGAGTGTTTTTGTTTATACCTCCATCTGGCAGGTCAGACCCAGGCAGCCCTATCTATTTTTACCCCTAGACAGAGCCTGCAGGAAAATAAATCTTGTTTGTCTGGTCTGCAGGTCATTTGCCTGTCTGCATGATCTGGTCATTGACCTACATGTACAGGCAAATGTAGCCTGGGTACCATCCCCAGTAGTATATTCGCAAACTCTATAACAGTTATAGAGTTTGCGAATATACTACTGGGGATGGTACCCAGGCTAAGGCAAATGACCTGCTGGCCATCAAAGTAAACAAACCAAAACAAAGTAAACAGATGCTGCTGATCTGCTTCAGCAGAAACGCTCCAGTACTGCCACCTCTGCCTCTCGGGGGCGAGCTTGTGCCAGTCACCACTGTTGCCAAGGGGCTCGGCTTCATCTTTGACAACAAACTCTCCTGGCGCGAACACGTGAAGTCTATGGTGTCAAAGGCCTCGAGCAGGCTCCACTACCTCCGCCTGCTGACAAAACAGGGCATGAGTGTGCAAGATCTTGTCCAGGTGTACCTGAGTCTCATCCGCCCTGTCCTGGAGTATGGCCATGTTCTGTTGGTCGGTTGCAGTGAGGAGCAGGCAGCGAGCATAGAGAGGGTTCAGAGGCGCGCCCTCCGGATCATCTCACGTGGCGGCAGACGATCTGTACCGACACTGTCGTCCCTGAAGGAGAGGAGAGAGGCCGCTGCTGTGTCTCTTTTCAAGGCCATGCTGAATCCTGAACATCCCCTGCACGACCTGGTTCCTGCCCAGAGACAGTCTGTCACACGAAGATCGCTGAGGAACAGTCACAACATCACTGTTCCCCATGCAAGAACTAAACGGCTGCAACAGTCCTTCCTGTACTACACCATCAGACTCTATAACAACCTGCCTTGAACCTACACTAGTACTGGACTTTGCATAGCCTGATGCAACTTTGTGCATATATGTTGTAAATAATTTTTTATATGTGTCTTTTGTATATATGGTTGTTTATATGTATTATTTCTTCTATGTGAATGCTGTTTAATGCTTCAAATAATGTGACAAATTGTACCTAATTCAGGGGGATGCGCTTCTGCTCCCCCTGCTGTTGTACATTTGTTAAATGATGAGCAAATAAAGTTGAAACCATGGTAACAAGACACTAAACGCCTGCACATGACAGCTTGATAAATACAAAGTGCCACCACAAATCATTCTGCTGATAAAAACAAAGTTTGACTCATAATATCTCTATTGAAATACACCAAAAGATTACAAAATAACAAGCTATTTCATGGAGGGATGATGTCTACGACTTCTCCTTGTTAATTTCTTTGATCTGTCGCCCAAAGAACTACAATTATCTGCACTCACACTCAACGCTTATCATAGAGAGACAAAGAGGCGAGATGGGCTTGGTAAGTTTAATGTTTTAAACCATGAGAATCCACCAAGACCAAGCCCGGAGGGAAGGGGAGAAGGAGAGAGGCGATGAGGGGGAGAGTGCAGTAACTGTAGTAGAGGGGCGTAGCTACTAGTATAAGGAGGGGGACGGACTGAGTAACAGTGCTGAGTGATATTGCTAAGTAACAGTGCTGCGGGCTAAAAAGCTAGATTGTACGGCAAACAACAGTAATAAAATATTCAAAAGTAACAGTGCTGTGTAAGACTGCCTAAAAACTTGTTGTACCGGACAAGGCAACAGCGAGAAAATATTAATAACTAACAGTTGACTAAAATGCTAGTCTGTACTAGGCAATACAACGGCAATAAAACATTCATAAATAACAGTGCTGTAACACAGTAGTAATGCTGACGGGCGTATCAGACTGAACATGAACGAGATAGCATAGGAACTATGGGGCAGCAACCCATGATCTAGGCGAACGTCATTGCTTCCGAATCTCTAAGGTAACATACTACTGGGACTGAACGGTAGTGATACAAAGTCGGACTAAGTTACTAGCTTGTACTGGGCCAAATAAATGCGATAAAAATATACAAAAGGAACAGTGCTGGGTGAGGTTAACACACTTCTGAGACTGCACGAAGTGGTACAAAAAGTCTGGAAAGAAAGTCCTGTGAAAGAATGTCCTGTGAGGTTGGAGATGACACGAATCCGGCGGTTGAGCCGAGACGATCTGAAACCGGCGGCTGGGCCGGGCTGGCACGGGGATGGCGGTTGCCGAGATGACCGAGGTTGTTGGCGGTTGAGCCGAGACGATACTTATACATGTGCCTGTGGTGCAACCTCGGAGACAGTCACACATTTCCTCCTGCACTGCCCACTGCACGCAGCGGCACGACAAGACCTTGCCACTGCTGTGTACCGCCTCGTGAGACGGCCCCTCTCCACCAGCGTTCTACTCAACGGGTCCCCGGGCAATGACATCACATTAAACGAAAGCCTCTCACACTCCTTCCACACTTACATCACTTCAACAAACCGTTTCTAGGCACTTCCAGCTGTTCCTTTCTAACCTTGTTATTTAGTATCCTTTTTTTTTCTCATATAAGGTAGTCTGACTGTGACTTATTTTATCGACCTCTGACC